TTTCTCACACTTTTCGCGAAGTCCATCCCTCCGGTCGGATTTGAAACATAATATTGTTATCCTATATCATAAAGGTGCCAGCCTTTAGCTTGGATTTTGGATACTTCCACCCGAAAGCGTGGAAATGTTGCGGGAAAATGCATCCGCTATGCCTCAAACTTATTCTTACACATCTTTGTTACACTCCAACCTTTAAAAGTAAACCTGATGAATTCAGGTTTCAGCGATTTTCGAAATTCCACCAGCAACTGTGGAAAAGTTGCAAAAATCGGACTCAACAAATAGTTTGTTTACTTTCCGATTAGCCTTAAACTTGAAATCTTTTCTGAAAGTTCATTTGATTTCACGTGTTTCACACTTTTCGCCATTTTCACGGTCGGGAATTTGGCTGACTTGAACCGAGCGAAGCTGCAAAATGCCAGCCAGTGTAGACATTTATATTAGCCTGGGCTCATCAAAATTTCTAGAAATTGCAATCGAACAATGTCCATAAATCAGATAAATTACATTCAGATATATTTATTTAGTTTTTCATCATTTTAAATATTCATAATGAATTTTGCTTGACATAGTTTCTAAGTTAAGAGCCTCTAATGAGAATTTTCATGCAACTACATATTTGAGTATTTATAATTTCAATTTACGTTTAGTTAAATTCAAAATACGGATATGTATGCCCGATTCGTTTAAGTACGTGTTCACTGTATGCTAATACTGTATAATATTTAAATGTCTAGAAGACCAATTTGTATAAATAGACACCAATTAAAAGTGTTTGCGACGACCGTCCTTTTCTAAGCTGCATATGCGACTATCATTTTACAATTATGTCTTGCATAAATCGTTTTGATCTGATTATGTTAGGGAATGATAAACATCTGTTGTATATTCTAATAAAAGATGCCTCATAGTATACATATATGATTTATAAATTGTAATATATTAAAAATCGTACTCTTGAATTTGCTACGTTAAAGTTGGAATGCTGAGACGCGTCCTGCTTAGTTAAAGAATAAAAAATATAACAATTATCTGATATCATAATTGAAATTTTGTCTCTTAAGTCAACATACATTTATATATTTAATTTGCGAAAATCCATAGACAAATTGATTTTAGAACCATTTCAGGTATTAATCTCATAGATTCTGGGTCAATTGAAATATATGAGTATACAAATTAATTTTATAACCATTTCAGGTATTAATCTCATAGATTCATAGTCAAATAGAGACTCAGATCTTTAGATCTTTTAAAAACCATAGTTCGAGTTAGGGCTTTAGCACGTTCTTAGGTTTTAATTGTGTTTGCAATCTATTCGTATTGCATTATAATTTCACAGTATAATTTAAATTTGTACATTTAGTAATACATAGATCCACAAAGTCGATGCGAAAAAAAACCCCCTGTAAACTAGATATTCTTGTCTGTTCTATACTCAGATAGGTTAGCTATAAACCTATGCTCAGATAGAAAATAAATAAATAAAATGTTTAAATAAATATATGCAAGCTGGTCTAAGATCATGGCAAAGTTAGTACGATATCTAGAAAAATACAATATCTGTAGCCGATAGACCCGATTGGTCTGTATCGAGATCCAATAGTCTTTGGACATATTCAACGGATGGACAACGAGCTGATACCACAGTGCGATTGGCAACCATCTCGTTGAACTCTTTGGCAATATTGGAGCGCAGCCTGAGCAGTTTTTCGCCCAATTCTGTGGAGAGCCGAATGCGCAGCCAGGTGTCCAAGCGCAGAACAGAATAATCAACCGGATTGTATTCATCGACAGGATCGAGTATACCCGGTACGAATGGATCCAATTTGGCCACCTTGCCGCACTGGAGGGCCACCATCAAAGTGCTGACTAGCGTGGTATGCTCAATGTGCGAGACGAGGGCAGCTGTGCGGTTCTTGTCCACGTATAGAAGCCACTCGCTCAAGGTGCCTCTTATCCTTTTGGCGAAGCACAAGGGTAAACATGAGTTCCTCGAGAGTTGAACACGCGGATCGCCTTCGGCTATGAGGCGCGAATTCTTTGTACGATCGACGTAAACAATTCGTGGATAGAGCCCGGCAGTCAGGGCCAGACGTACCATATTCAAGTTGTGGTCATATTTGGTGGCCGACCTCATGTCCACAAATTTGATCATGCGCATCAGGGTGAGACGCAGCGTTTGCACCGCCGAAACGAACAGATCCATCGACTTGCGACACAAAAAGTGCTTCTCACAAAACTTGTCCATTTCACGGCTGCCCCTGTTGTCGGCGCACATGTACTCATGATACAGCTGGAGTATGCCAATCGAATCGCTGCACGCCTCGAGGCTAAAGAAATCACGGGACTTGCGCTGTTCACTGCGTGCATTACGATCGGTGGGCAGGACAAACGGATCGCGCACCGAGTAGTAGGCGGTAATGATGCTCATGCTGCCCACGCATTGGTAATAGATGCCGTAAACCAGACACTTGCCCAGCTGCACATCCAGCGGCAATTCGGCTATGATGTGACCCAGCGGTGTGACGCTCTCGTTCGCGTCATGGAGCACATCCAGCAGCTTTAGCTTGGCGCAAGCTTGGGCAATGGCAACAGGCTGCGGGCGGTCCAGGGCCTGCGACAAGAAATGTTCGATCGCCTTGTTTGGGGCGGCTATCTTGGCCAACAGGCAGACCTCATCGAGTGTATGGCGCAATATCTCCGGCACTGTAAAGCGATTGAAACGGTGATACTGATTGCTGCTATAGAGGCGATAGCATATGCCATCTTTGCGACGACCGGCGCGACCAGTGCGCTGCTGAGCATCCGCCTGGGATATCCAAGTGCAGGCCAGATGCGAGGCGCCGGTTGCCGGATCGTAGGTCTTCATTTTGACACGGCCCGTATCGATAACATAGAGCAAATCGGGAATGGTGATCGAAGTCTGGCCAATGTTTGTGCTCAGCACAATCTTGAGTTGCACATTTGAATATTCACGAAAGACATCCTTCTGCCTCTGGCTATCGACCTGGCTGTGCAGCAACATTATCTTGACCAAATCCATTGGCAGAGAGTCAACCAGCTGATCCATCAATTTTGTCATATCCTGATAGCCGGGCAGATAGACAATGACGGCGCCCTTCGTGCCCATCACCAGCAGCACCTGCAGCAGGGACACAATCAGCGAATTGTCTATTTCCTGGTCGTATATATTATGTGCAATCGAATAGGCCTCCACGAGCTCATCCGCTTCGGCGTCGGTCTTGTTGCCCAGCACACGTGCCATCTGAGGCGTCATATAGCCGGTCATGTGCAGTATGTTCTCCAGCGAATAGATGCGCACATTGAAGCTGCGTCCCTCCACATCCAGGACGGGAGCATTGCCAAAGTATTTGGACAGCGCCAATATATCCATTGTGGCCGACATTAATATCAACTTGAGCGACTTGTTGCGCTCCAGCTCTAGTTTAATGGCCAGCAAAAGAAAGTCTGTGTCCAGATCGCGATCGTGTACCTCATCAATGACTAGATGTGTGGTGTTATTAAAGAACTCGCCGCTTTTCATGGCCAGCGTGCGCAACAGGCAGCCACTTGTGGTCAATGCCAGAACCGTGTTGCTGCTGCACTTGCCTGCATTCAAGTATAAATATTGGGATTAGGAATATTGGGAAGCATTGTGGATTAGAATACTTACTCTCCATACGTATAATATAGCCCACGGTGTCGCCTAGCACCTCGCCGCGCTCCTCGGCAATGCGCCCGGACACGTTAATGGCGGCAATGCGCCGCGGTTGGCTAACCACAATGCGTACAGACTGATTCGATGCGGCTGCCTCCTCCAGCAAATACTGCGGCAATTGGGTGGACTTGCCCGAGCCCGTGGCACCGTTCACAATCAGTACCTTCAGAAGAGAAGCCAATTGAGCCAATGCATTGCTGGGTACGATGGGAAATGCGACTTACCTGCGACATTTCGAGCAGCTCGAATATTCTTTCGCGCTTCGTAAATATGGGAAGATTACGGCGCTCGTCGTCCAGATCGCCGCAGATACTGCGAGGGATCGGGGGCACACGTGGAATGCCCACTAGGCCGCCGTTTTGGATAGTTTGCTCGCGACGCTGCGGTTGAATGGGCTGTGACCGTCTGCGGCTCAAGTCCTTGAGGGCCATATCCAAGACAGTGCCAAATTGCAGTGACACGGCCAGCTTGACATCTTCGAGACGCATATTCAGCTTCGTGGTAGCACCGCGACTCAGGGTCAGCACCCGTTCGCCGTTGTTGCTGCGACTGCGCGTTTTTAGACCGTTCTGTCGGGCGAACTGGTGAATTTCTTTGCGCTCCTGATTGCTCAAGCCAACTATCTCCTGCGACACGTCGTCGCTTCTTAAAAAATTGAGCACAGTTTGCTGCAGCATTTGTAGCTCCCCGAATGTCAGTTTTTTCTGCTCGGCCTTGTCCGATTTGTCACTCGATTTTGACTTTTGCTTGGATTTCGATTTCGGTGCTTGTGTGGGTTGCACGGCGCCCGCCTCCTCACCTGCATTATTCTTGTTCTTGTTCTTGCGACGGCTTCTGCCGCTCTTTGACTTTCGGTTAGTCATCCTGCCACAATTTCAATACCTTTCCAACTAACTGACTGTCGCTTTGTGAAAAGCAAGAAAAAACGAACGAAGCAAATCGCTTCGACTGGCGACTAAAATATAGTATTTACTGCCGGCTGTCTGGCAACCGAAATGTCATAGCAGCTAGCCTTTAAGCGGATGCAAGCGATTAGATTCAATCGATTGTTGCTTCGCAGCGTGCTTGCATTGGATTTCGCAAAAAGTTAAAATGCAGAGCTACAAAGCTTTTTCAAAGCTTTTATTTTGGCCGACAACAAAAGCTTAACTGTTAACAATTCAATATGCAATTTCTTCATGAAATATAATTTCTGCGATAAATTAAGATATAAGCAGCCAGACAGCTGACAAAAATATCAATTATGATAGGTAATTACCTAATTAAAACGCCGTTATTAATTTCATGATAATAATTAATTTATACAAAAAAAAAATTGTGCTTTCATAACCTAATTTTCACACTATTTCGGCATTTGAATGCTATTTGTTTACTAGTTTATCGCTTATATTAGGTTTTTGTTGCTCCTCATCGCTGCTTTCCTCACTGTCGCATTCATCCGAGTCGAGATCCGAATCACCCTCCCCGTCACCGTCCCCATCCTCATCTTCGTCTTCGTCCTCATCGTCGTTGTAATCATCGTCCTCTTCGGCGAGATTCAGCTGCTTGATCTTCTCCAGCAGCTCCTCGCGCGTATGCCTGACGCGCGTCGCCTTCTCTTGCGCCTCCCGCTCCTCGTCATCAACCGGCTCCTCGGTCTCGGTCTCCTGCTTACGTCCCTTGGCCATGAAGCGGAGAAATGCACGTCGCTTGCGCTCTGGAAAAGATTTTATCAGCCGGTCCATTTCGACCTGCAGCTGTTGTTCCTCCTGAGGCGTTGGCTCTGGCGCTTCGATTGCCACCTCGTCGGCGCTCTTCAGGCACTTCGCGCACACATGGTCCTTCACAGCACAGTCCCGACAGATGACATGGTAGGCCTTGCGCACAGTGCGCTGTTGGCAGCGGGCACAGGTCTTTGCCTGGGTCAGGGGCTTGTACTTTTTGTATTTGATCTTCCACTCGATGACCTCCTTGCAGCGTTGGCAGACCGTCGATACGTGCATCTTATTCAGTCGTATCTGCTGTGGCGTCTTGTCATGCAAGTCGTTTTTGAATACATGACGATTTTTGTGTTTTTGGGCACGTGTGCGACTTGCGTTCCCGCGTTGTGTACTCATGCTCTGTGGCGGGATAGTAAGAATCAAATGTAATTGATAAAATGTATAGTTTGTTTGCCCAGCAATAAAGTTCTGCTGCTGAACTTACAATTAATGGCCCCTAGGTATATTTCGTTTATTAATTTTACAAAATGTTTTGGTACTGGACTGGTGCAGACAGAAAGTTATCGATAACACTAAGTGCTTACTCAATTTGGTCAAATCAGCTAGATGGCAAACATGTGCGTGGCTGCGATAAGAAGCTGACTGCTATATATGTAAGCGTTCAAGACAATGTTGCTGTCGAAAAATGTTACTACCCAAAATTTATTCAGTATGTAAAATATGCCTATATATTTTGTCGTTCATTTCGGTGTTCTTTAATATATGTTGACAAAAAAAAAACATATTTTTGGTATATTTACGTTGTTTAAACAACCTGGTCACACCTGTTTGCATTTAGGGTTTGACATGCGCGCAAGCTGCTTGCTATGAGTGCGACACAAAAAGCTGTCGATTTGTTAAAAGTTAGGCGCTAAAAGTGTGTGAGGGTGCAAATTAAATAGATTAATTTATTTAGTAATATATTATATCTTTATTATTTCAGACGCTCAACAAGTTGGCAACGCTCTCATGCAGACGCAATGCGCGATCTCAAGCAGCGCTTGTTCGATCTATTGCGGTCTGGCGGAATATCCGTCGGAGACAACAACAACAACAACAACAGTAATGCCAGCGGTAACAACAACAATGGCGTACCAAACATGCAGATCCTACCGCATCATCAACTGCAGCAGCAACATTCTCCTCTCCACCCAATGCCAAAGCCGAAAAAATTGCATGAATATACTGCGGCCGATTGTAATGCGGCCTTTTTGCGTAAATATCATGAACTGAGCATTAGCAGGGCGAAGGAGAGGGACAGGGAGCGGGAGCTGGAGCTGGATATGGAACAGAATGGGGCCTCAAATGTGATATATTTCAACGAGAACCTATCGATGACCAGCAAATACAATGTACGCCAGTTTCCGCTAACGCGCTACCCCTCCTGCCCGCTGAGCGGATTCGGCATGTCGCCGCCTCGCGCGGATGGCAGCGCGGGCAGCAGCCTGGCCGAGGATACGGAGAGCGATAGATACAATTTCTGCTCGGATGAGGATCAGAGCAGTAACGCACACACGCTCAAGCTGCGCTGCCACAAGCTGCACATGGATACAGATGCGGAGGCAGGGGCGGACGGCGACCTCGATGACGAGGATCACGCTGAATCGCAACTGGACTCATTCTGCACGCTCTGCACCTCCACGTTCAGCTATAACAAATGCTGCCGCTACTGCGACAACTCACTCTGCGGCTCCAAATGCAATTCGGAGCGCGGCTCCCATGCGAGCCGCCTCAGCTGCAATCGCGCCAACTACGGCCCCATCGATGCTGAGCTCGACTTCAATGGCCAGCTCCTGCATCAGCATCCGCACCATCATCAGCAACGCTTTGGCGGCAGCTCCAAATTGTTCACGGCCCAACAGCAGCCAGTTGCCGCAGCAGCGGCTGCCATCAGGTACTGTCCATACTACTATATATACATAGCATAACTAGGATCAGCTTCTATATAACCTCGAAATTCGTACACACATATAACTGAAGCATACTTTATATCTTATTGCTCTAAAAACTATGATATTGTCAATCGATTCGTCCGACTTCGTAGCCATCGCCCACTTTGTAGAAATATGATTTATACATTTGCTTCATTTCCGATCCATACTAAGGGTATATTAGTCCGATTTGATACGATCAGTTAGATATATGTTAGGACTGCAAAGCCAAGACCTGCAACCCAATTCACTCGCTTAGGTTTGCTGCCTGCAGCTGATTTCCCTCAATGTTGAGCCAATGTCTTGGTTCAAATCATGATTTGTCATATTTTGCAATATGTTAATTGCACGTTCTACTGAATATATTGTCTATCGTAAATATATTCACATGGAAGTTGCGTGCTAAAGTCGACCTCTGCCCAAAGTTGACATCATCCAAACATGGTTAGATAAGTGCCATGGTTTGGGCCCAAAGGCTTTTGAGGCTGAGGTCTTCATCGAGATTTTGTAAGCCAATGTTTAAAAACTCAGTTTGGTTCGGTTTTATGAAAACCAATTTGTTTTATAGTAAAGTCAATTTAAATCAATTAAAACATAAATAACTATCGGATTCTTGATAAACATAGGAAATACCCAACCATTCACCATTTTGCCGCTGCACGCTTTCAATGAACTTGCCGCAAAGTTGGCGATATCGAACACCTTTGCAAAGCGCTCAATTATGAGTTTCAACATAATTATCATCATCATCATCATCATCATCATCATCATCATCATAATCATTAATAATATTGTTGCTAATGAAGTGTTTTGAAAACACTTTTCAATTGCATCGCCAATTAGTTGAGAAATTAGATGCGATTTTGACTGATTGCATTTGAATGAGTCTCGAATCAAAAGAGCAACAAACTAAGCTTGAACCGAACCGAACCGAACCGAACTAAACCGAACCAAATTCAGGCTAAAAAATAATACATAATTAGCTTAAGCCAGGCGAAGAGCGGGCAGCTGAGGAGCAGCTAACTATATGCAAAATATACACACATATATGCACATGGCATATATGTGTGTGTGTATCTTTATTTATTACTATATAAACGGTATGTATCTTACACCTGAGCGGCAGAAGCAACGTTATTTCCGTTAGACAGCGAGTCGAACAAAGGCAGCTGCCCATCTGCCCAGGTGCCTAGAAGCGCATGACGCGGGCTGCGGCCATAAAAAGCATTCAAAAACATAAACTCGATTGAATAAAGTTAACTTAACAAGTAAGAGTGTTCCACTCGAAAGTGCTCGACTAGCTGATATCCTGTAGTTTGTCTTGGAAATGCTCTTAAGCATAGTTTCAAACACCAGCCTCTTACATTCAGAGAGAAAATAGGCCCAACTCCAAAATAATAGACCCAAAAACAAAGTAGAATGTTTCACGTAGACCTCTTCCACCTATTTTCCACACTTGCGGGCAAAATTGAACTCCGAATACAGTTTTACGAAAATATGTATGAAACATTTAATTATCTTACAGTAAGGCTTTTCTACCTAATCCAAGCATTTACCTTTATTTGGTATGTTTGTCCTAATATTAATCATATATTTGAATATATCTTTAAGAGCAAACACTGAAATTTGTCAAAGAAAGCGATAATGAAATTCCATTTTTATCATTCTGAAATTTAGAATATCGCCTCTCTCTGAACGAACCTTCAATTTGCATATCTGGTGTATACCCCTTTACCCAATTTAATGTGTACAGGGTAGACAACTTTAAGATAAGATGAACAAAAATTCAAAAAACGTAAAAAAAGAGAGCGAGCAGCAGCAAGAAAAAGCCCGACAATGTGCAAAAAGCGCATCGACGCCTCACACACACACACACACACACACACACACGCACACACAGACAGAAAGTAGCCAACAACAACAATAATCATAACTGAACGTAAACAAACAAGCAAAAGCTTTTGAAGCTTTCACGCCTGCCGCTTCTGCGCTTGCGCTTGCGCTTTTGAGCAGAGGCACTGCGCAGCGGCGACTGCGGCTTTTACATTTCTTTGGCGACCGGTGGCCAAAGTCGGAGTCGGTGTCGGAATCGAAGTCACAGTCGAAGTCGAAATCGGAGACTGGCAGACCGCAGACTGAAAGACGCGAGAGTTAAACAAGCGTCGACCATTGTTCGCATAGCACGTGCCGCGCGCGCCACACTCGATCTGCGATTCTCGCTGACAGCTGGCAGCAGGCAGCAACAAACAGTTAACACAAATTAACCGTTGCTTCAAAATGTTGCATCAATTGTGTTAGTTAGGCGTGCATTTCTGTTACTACATATTATTGTTATAATTTTTTTATACAATTTTTTTTCTTCGAGCGTTTTCGATATCGTCAAAGATAGTGCAGACAGTGTGCGTGTATAGCCTACATATGTATATATATGTGTGTGTGTATGTGCGTATCTGTGTGTTGTGTTATGTTTTTGCGCTGCATCGCATTGTTTATGCCCAACTACATGGATAAAGCAAATATCTTGAGTAAGTTAATTTAAATTTAGAATCAAAATGAAATACCTAATAGCACAAGGAACTGTATTGTATTTGTAAATAAGCTCTTTATGCTACAGACACGAATCTCTCTAAGTTTTTGAATCGGATAAGCCGGATAATATCTAAAAATTCATAATTCTCTTGATCTGTCTGTGCGGCAAACCACAGCGCACAACTTTGTAACTCTAGTCCTTTAAGTTTTCCAAATATGCGATAAAATGGGGGGGCTGGCTAGATTGATCATATATAAACTTTCTTGAAGTGCTGACCAATTTGATATTCATTTTTTTTTTAAATCTGTTTTCATAGAATAATTCCTTAGTTCAACGAAAATAATCTATTATGCAATTTAGAAAGAAATTTTAACTCACTTCTTGATTTTCTTTTGGTATTGAAATATGAAAGTTTTTCAGATTTAATTCAATTAAAATGATCCAAATTGTTTTTACATTTAATCAAATGTGTGGCAGGGAGAGTTTTGAACAACCAATTAGCCCATGTGCAAACCATTAAGTTATACAACTCCCAACAGTGGCTGATTAGGCCACTGACTGCGATAATTACACTGTGCAGTGAGAGAGAGAAACAGATTTCATTTGTAATTCGTAATTTGTAATTCATAATTAAGGACTGAACAAAAATCGAAAACTTCAATCAGTCGCACCTCAAATGTGTTGTAAACAGAGGCCTTCAAAATGCATATACACCATATTATACCATTCAGAGCAATATATGTATGAGTATTATCTATCTTATATTATCAAAATTCAATTTCTGTATACTGTACACTACACTACTGTAATCATATATTATATTTATGACAAACCATATAAACCATCTCATACTATCATATCAAAGACCCTGGCATACACTCTACCCTGTAGGCGAGCATGTGCTATATACCCTGTGTAACTTTTATATTTACTACCAAAACCATATCATACCTTGCCTCATGCTCTTATTATACGACTGTTGTATGCCCCGGGGCTTGATAAATGAACGGGCAGCTATCCATATCCATGTTTACTGATGTGATCAGAGCGCGGCGTTGTAGAATTCGAAAAGCGCATTAAATCGTATTTTGTTTCGGTGTTGCACACGCCTTTTGCCTTCTC